CCCTCTCTCTCTCTCTCTCTCTCTCTCCCTCTCTCTCTCTTTCTCTCTCTCTCCGTCTTCAGGATGTCTGAGCCGTTGTCTCACTAATGTTTGCCACACCACAGTAGGTAGCGTAACCGAACGGCCGCGGGTTTCTCAAAGTCCATGATATCGGCGTTTTTCATGCAATTAGCCTTCTTCCGGAGGGTCCTGAACATGAAGGGTCCAACTCCATCCCCGATAGAGCGCTTTTTCTCGCGATGGGGCACCAGCAGTTGTCGGAGCGGCCCGGCGTCGCCCACGAATCTGAACACATCCTTCGCCCCCCGCCGCCGTTCCTGTCATGCCCGCTTCACGTTTCATGACCCTCTTTTCGCCGCGACTCCCACCCCCCGCTGCAGCACATGTTCTGCGCACGCCTTGACATGTCCGTGGACGGCCAGAAGAACACCGTCAAGGAGGCGGACGTGGTCCGTGTGCCCTGTGGCGAGGACAATCCCGCAAGCAACGCCTTCCGTGCCCAGTACACCCCCCTCGTCACGGAGAAGCAGGCCCAGCGGGAGGCGAACCCGCGAGCCGCCCGGTCCTGGTTGATCCAGAACCCTTCCTCGATCAACCCGATCAACGGGAAGCCCGTGGCGTACAAGCTCGTGCCTCAGACATTCGGCCCGACGCACCCGTTGCTCATGACGGGAGAGGACAGCGCGGTCACCGCCCGGGGAGAGTTCGCGACCAAGGCTCTCTGGGTTACGCCGCACCGGGATGATGAGCGGTGGCCAGCCGGCGATTTCACAGTGCAGAGCACCGGCGGGGAGGGGCTCCCCGCCTGGACGAAGCACGACAGGTGAACACGACCGAATACTCTTCGCTTGTTGTTGTGACACGGTCATGACGACGGTCGAAGGTTTGGAGTACGGGGGGGGCACGTCGTAGAGGGAGCCTTGTCTTTGTCAGTGCTGTGTTTTGGAGGCTCTGCGTGCATGGCGAAGCCGTCTCTCCGTGTCTCCGGATCATTGGTGATCATTAACGCGTTTGCTGGCGAAAACCCGTCATCGCGTCGACACCCGAACCCCCACTACTCCTCCCACATGCTCACGGGCATTCGTTGTGAAAGTTCTCCAAACCGCATGAATTGTTGACAATGATGCTTCTTGACCTTTACGAACCGAAGCCAAGTGAAATCAGGCGCTGCACCATTTTCGGCTACGACTGCACGTCCACCCAGCAAATGCAAATGCAAGAGAGGGTGATATTATGTAGGGATCCGGCACACATCTTCTGATCCCCTCGCCCCGTGTTGGCGCAGGAACGTCGAGGACGAGGACGTGGTCTTGTGGCACTCTTTCGGACTCCTTCATGTGCCCCGGGTAGAGGATTTCCCCGTCATGCCGTGCGAGTCGACGGGCTTCACCCTCAAGCCCGACGGGTTCTTCTCGGGCAACCCGACGATTGATCTTCCGCCGAGCGCAGGCGGGGACGGCAAGAGCAAGTGCTGCTCGCACTGATTTCGGTGTGCTGCTTACCAGGACGCGAGCACCAGACAGCACTTGACGTGTATGTATTATGGTGTGCTTGTTTTCCTGGTGTGAGTTGTACAGTCAGGGCAGGATACCGATTTTGTGCCATCTTGAGTGTCGATTTCTTACAACTACGTCGTCACCACCGCGAGCACAGGCTATCACATACCAGGGAATAGTGAATAGGATCCATCGCTGAGCTGTGTTTCTTGACTTTCGTCAAATTCGTAACGTAAACCTCATTATCTGAACGGGATATTTCTCATTTGCGGGCACCTGCTGCTGTCCTTGAGTTGGGTCGAGGTTCTGTATATATATCTGAACAACGGATGGGCGCGGGGTGCGGGGCAAAGGGCAATGACGGTACGGGAAGGGACCTGTTTTTGTGCCTTTTTGTTAAAGGCCGATTGTCCTGTTCAAGGCCGATGAAATCGCATAAATTGTTAAATTTGTCTCATTCTCTGCATAGGGTCCGGTGCCCCATAGGAGGCCGGTGTTTTCCCTGAGACCTTGACGGCCTTCAACAGGGACCTCTACTGTAGATACTGCCGTGATACGATCGGCAGGCGCGGGATACGGTCGCTACGAATGCGGTGCGTCTCACCGGGTTATGTGCTGGTCTTCGGGCACTCTAGCTTAGCCTTGCCTTGTATTTGGTGCCCTTTCTCTATGTATTTTAGTGCGGTGTTCAGTGGTGTGAGGTAAGCGGGCACGCGTTTGATGACGTAGACCAGCGTGGAATTGATCCAGTTTTCTCCAATTTTTTCTGTGCTGCTGGGTTCGACGTGGCGGGCGCTCCCATGGGAGATTGGGGTGGCGAAAGCACAAATTGCGTCACGTGGGCCTTAGTGCGGAGGTCAAGCAGGCAGCGCTCGTGCAAACATCAGATGTTTGTACGTAAAACGTTGTGTCAGACTTGCGCAGAGGCATGTGCTGCGCTCGCTTGCGGTAGTCTCGAACGGGGCGACAACAAATGTACAATACTTGAGTGATCCGCTCGCCATCATCTATCACAGGGAAGGTTGACATCCGGAAGTCGATTGGGGAGGAAGGCCACCTGGAAAAAAATCGTGTCTGGCCATTATCATCCTTGAAGTTCAGCTAGCAGAAGAGGGTCATAAACCAATATCACATCGGTGCGCGGTTTGCATTGTGTGCTTACCTAGCCATTCTATCTTCCCTCACCAGAGGAGAGCGAAAGGCGGTAGTGAACTCTGTAACACATCATTCTGAAGACAGCGATGACCACGATGACCATGAATTACAAGAATCAATCGGACAATGTAGGCTCGAGTTGCATCAGAAAACGTTCACGAACAGCTCTTAGTTTCTTTCCATTTTCAAATGGCTAGTGAAGGGTTGAGGTCTCCCTGTCGCTGTCGGTGGGATAACCCTTTCAACGACTCCTGCCGAAGGCTACAGGTTCCAAGATGAGCCTCGTGCTCAGAGACGCAGGGGCGAAGAAAGATGCTGGAGCTCAAGGGTACCCGATAAACCGCATGTCAGGGACCTTCTGATCTATTGCTGTTTGCCCTGTCCTGGTGCGTGAAGGAGGACTACCCGGAGCTGCTCTGACAAGTGTTTGAAGAACGGATGGGGAACTTGGCCACAAAAACAGGTGCTCCGTCAAGAAGCCCACGCTAAAACCTGTGTAGGGTACCCCATAGAGAAAAGTAAGAAACGAGTCTCCGCCAAACAAGCTAGACTAGAGGTCCGCTTGTGGTCAGTTCAGCCACTCGGCGGCGGACTGCTAGACAAAATATTCTCGTTTTCTAATCGACTAGACTAGACTGCTTCCGGATCTGGAGCATACATAGCTCCAAAGCACGGCCAGCCTTGTCGTCACAGACAGCCAAGTTCACTTTCAAGCCCGACAGCCGAGGTGCCACCTTCGATATACATAGATGGGCAGACGCTGCCACCAGCTTCACGTCTGTGCCACCGAGAGGGGGCACGTGCGGCGGTTGTGCTCACACTACTGTATGTAGTCTACATAGACTATATATATCGATTGTCAAGAATGAAAATCTCCCTGCACATCTGGTCTGGCTCGCTCTCATTCACTTGTGCAGCAGGAACCCAGGTGGTACCAAACGCTAAAAACGCTATTAGGTTGCGGCATTCTTGCTCATGAAATGATGTGGCGGCGCCTCTCCTACTCTGTCGGGAGTCTGGAACGGCGAATTACACAAACCACAAACCGCAGGCCGGCAACCCCACTCAACCAACCGAAAAGCGCACCAAGACCAACAAACCCCTCTGGTGATGACCACCCTTCCCTCTGTGATCACCGTCTCCCTCTAGAGCTCAACACCAACTATGCGAGCTGGCTGGACGGCTGCTAGCCTGCTGCAGACTGAGGACTGCAGGTAGAAGTTTGGCAGCCCAACAGTTGAAATTGCCACCCCAACCGTCGAAAGTAAAGTGCAAAATAGATGAAGGCAGCAAACACATCGCACGCTTCGCTCGCCGTGACGCCTCTTTCAATTTTGTGTAGCGCTGCGCCAAACTGCTGGGCCAGGCATTGGGCCAGGTAAGACGGCAAACCATCGTTGTGCGGCCGTCACGCAAAGAATAAGGAGAACCTGGGAGAACGCCGGTCCACGGCGCCCTCGCGGCCTTCAACACCGAGGACTCCATCCTATAGGCATCTCCGCGAGCGGCAAGTCCCGTCCAGACAGCAACCCTAATGCCATCTCCAACAGGCAGGAAGAAACATGTCGTCTACCCACCCCCTCGATCAGCTCAGGTGAACACGGCTGCTCTGTGTACACCTCAAGAGGAGTCGTGTAGCAGGATTCCTGACGTCCTGCTCAATTGGATTAGGGGCCAATCCGGGGGGCGGGGGTCGATCGTGGGGATTGCGTATGTAGTCTAGTCATGGTTGTTTTGTATAGGATTTAGGATAGTGATACACAACCTATATATAACCTCTCTTATTTGCTTCAGCATGAGTTTTACTTGTTTGGAGGCGGGCAGCTTGTTGTCGGAAGCGCAAAGAAGAGATACAGGACCTTGGTATATTAACGAGTGCGCCGGGCGTGCTAGCCCATGCACAGCAGAAGGGGGACCGCCCCTCTGCCAACACATACCGCCAATGATGCACGAAACCCCCTAGATCTCCGTAGATCATTATCGAGTGCAGAGAGTACCCCCAAAAAGCCCCCCTACTTGGTACTCGATATGATCTCAAAAACTCTTCAATTATTACCAGGTGAAACGGCGATAGGTCAATGCACAATTTGACTGTCGTTCATCATGCCATCCACTCAAACCTCACAATACCGTTGTAGTTCTGTGACCTCCCCTGAGCCTTACGATGCCAAACTCAGCTTCCCTCGACACACGGTCTCTTCAAGAAGGTTCGGCAAGGATGAATCAAATCTTTAATCCCAAAACACAGAAATAACGCAGTACAGTCAAGATGAAGTAAAACTCCAATGTGTATGGAAACATCAAGGGAACCCCACGGCTGACTGCGAACACCTGAAAATGAACCCAAATTATTCAATGGCCCCTTTGCCGGGACATCCTTCCTCAATCATGAAGGATCCAATCAAAACCTCCAAGTAAATTACTTGTGGTACGAGAAGAAGCTAAAATCCAAACATCAAACATCAACCCATGCAATGCCAAAACACTGCTTGGTGTACTGCAGCGGGGATCATGGTAATACATCCCCCCCCCCACAGACTGCGAGCCTATGTTGGACGCCCTATTTAGCGTCGGTGAGCCGGCAAAAGAACTGAAAGGAACCACAACCCCCGCCGGACACTCGGATTGGGAAGACCGAGTATTCCGTATACCTTCCTGAAAACACACGAAAAACAAGTGGCCACGGTCCAGTTGCCGTAGAGATCATGAGGATGGTGAAGAAGCTTGGAGGATGGAAGCAGAAACTGTGGAAGGGAGACAAGTTGGAGCTGCTGCTGTTTGGGATTCCAAGGGACATGACGAGGATAGAGTTCAAGAACTGTTGTGACAGGGAGGGACTGCACTGCCTAGCACGGGGACAAGNATAGAAACAGAGAGGGTAAGGAGACAAGAGGCGAGGGCGACGGAGGCGAAGAAAGGACCGAGCGGTAGAGGCGAGCAGGCAAGTTAGAAGAACGCCGAGAAGAAGCGTAAGGCGAACGATAGAGTGCGCAAAATCTCCAATAGGGAAAAGCGCAAGCTGAGAGTCGGGTCGTGGAACGTGTGCGGGTTCGC